CTACTCTCCACGGAGATAAAATTCAAAATATGCATCATCGCCTTTATACAGGGTGTCCCAAAAGTAAGTACACACTTTTCAATCGTTAATATCTCTCTTTTCATTGGGTCTTTTTCCGCCGTTGAAGTCCCATTCTGTAGAGGAGGCCTCAACTTAGATTTACAGCAACGGGCGAATCACCGATCACTCTTCGTTACTGTAGGATTACGGTAAGAACTTCCAGCATGTGGAACCATTGTGAAATATGCCATCAAACAAAATTTTCTCAAAAAATCTGAAAAATCGTATGCTAGGGTTTTCGCGCACGCCGATTCCGTTACACAACTTTTTATGAGCGTTTTCAGCTTTTCTGACAATGACTTTACACTTCCGACAAATGCTGGTAACTCGGTTATTACGGTTTACCTGGGATAACTTAGGAAAGAAGCATCAGAGTCAAGTGGAAGTTTCATATTCGAAATCAGCGGCTTCCACTATCATAGTAGAAGAGTTTTTGGCTTGCTTGGTTTTGTTCCGAGGCAGAATATAACTTGCAACGGCCTAAAATCCTTGTCAACGTTCCTACAGTAATCCTACAGTAACGAAGAGCGATCGGTAATTCGCTCAACATTGTAAATCTAAGTTGAAGCCTCCTCTACAGAATGACTTTTAAATGGCTGAAAAAGACACAATGGGAAGAGAGATATTAACGATTGAAAAGTGTGTACTTACTTTTGGGACACCCTGTATAGCGCCTCCTACGTTGAAGCTATGGGCATAAGCTACGCCTAGAAAAATGGAGCTACCAAAACTACACGTTAATAACCGTATGAGATTACCCCAGCCCTGCAACTCTTAGAAATATAAGCGCGCAAAGTCGCCCTTATTGACAGATTTCCCAACTTCGACTGTCAATTAGGCACTTTTCTTGGAAACTTGTTACTCTACAACCTTTTCTCTAAAAATCATATGTTTAGAGATCTGTCCAACAAAACAAATACCAGCCCCATACCTGTAATATTCGCAGAGTTATTAGCCCCCCAACATGCAAGCTCAGGCCGTAAAATTGGCTCCCCCAAAGTTGCTCCGTAATTCCCCCAAAAATCACGTTGGACACCTGTCTCATACTTATACATTACACATTTTTCCAGCTTCTTAGAAGCAATACACATTGATATAGCGCGATCGCTCCTCACTCTTGGCCTCGGCGCTAAATTTGGTCAAAATATTGAGGTTTCCGGATTGACCGCAAACTTCACTCATAGTGGTTCTTGGTCCCGATCTTTACGAAAATCCTATTTATTTTGCACTAGAGAGTCTTACAGTAAAGCTAAAGTGAGATAGAAGTAGCTGAAGCAATCAAGATCGCAACTTCGCCTGCACTTTTCCCCTACCTGTTGCGGAAATTGTCTGCAAAGTTTTGTGAGTTAAAAACTTTGTGAACATTTCTATCGGACCATGCTTAGCACAGATTTTTATTTGAATTGTTCGTCAGATTATGATGTTACAAAATCGCCTTCTCCTGAATTCTCTTTCAAATTCGAAAAGTCGTGTAATTTGGCAGATATTCTATCCTACAATGTGCCACCAGCAGCAAAACAATGTAAGAAATGTTGTTAGCACGTCGAGTACAATACCGCTCACAGAATGTGCAAAATTTCCCTGAATATCGCAAAATTCCGAAAATTCCGCGAATTCCCGGAATTTCGCGAAACTTCGCGAACTTTCAGGAGTTTCGCGAAATTCCGGAAAGTTCGCGGAATTTTCGGAATTTCGCGACATTCACGGAAATTTTGCAAGTTATGTGAGTGGTATTGTAGAATGCAAGAAGATGTCCAACGATAGTTACAAGAGCGCAACGATACCAGTGTGGAAGAACAAGAAGGATATAACAGACTGCTCTACATACAATACCGCTCATAATTCGTCAAAAAAGTCGGCGGAGTGCGCTAGAGTGCGTCGGAGTGTGGCGGAGTGTGGCGCAGTGCGCCGGAGTGCGTCGGAGTGTGGCGGAGTGCGGCGCAGTGCGCCGGAGTGCGGCGGAGTGTGGCGGAGTGCGCCGCACTCCGGCGACTTTTTTGACGAATTATGATCGGTATTGTATATGAGCGATTTTCGCTTCAAATTATAAAGATTTTAAAACTTAGGTTACGTCAGTGCGCACTCCTGAAATTGAGAAATACTGCGATTTTTTCCACAAATTTCGTCTGTCTCGGCGAAAAAAGACATGTGTTAGAAGGAGGAGAAAAAGTAGCATCGAATGGTAACTGAAGTGTCTGACATTTTATATTCTATGAGGTTAAAATAGGCCGAATGTAAAGTTTGGCCACTTCAAAAAATAAATCGTAGAAATTCTGAAAGACAAGCCCTAGGACTACAAAAAACTGCACTAGTTCGCAAAAGGTTTGCCCTATCGGCTGGTTATTAAGGCTTCTCCGAAAGTCTCATATAAAAATTTTGAAAATTAGCGAAAGTGGACATGATAGAAACGAGTGATTGTAATTTGCAGCAATTATCTCGTAACTCTCGCAACGAAACACAATGAGAGTTCAGCACCTGGAAAGAGGAAGAAATTCTGCACTAGATGCATTTCGAAATATTTGTTTATCTTCATTCTAGCATGTATGCCGATGGATTGAAAAAACTGACAAATCTTTTGCACCAACCTAATATTACTCTAGCGTTTATCGATAAAATCACCTCGAAAATATAGCGAAATCATTGCTGTCAAAAATGGGAAAAACTCTGCCCTGATGGTACTACTGCTTGGAGTATTTGGAATAAAGATGGGCAGAAATTTCAAAATCACTGTACGCAATTTTTCTTCCTCTTTTCAGCAGTCATCTTTCACGAGCATTTGTTGCGTGATTTGAAATAATCGCCAAAATATTCCACGTTCGACTATTTCTGAATCTTGGCATAGTGTCAATTACGATATATGATGTTAAGCTTTCCAAGATTGATAGTTTCTTCCTTTATTGCCAGTAACAGTTAACAATCAGTACGGTCTACGTTTCGGCGAAGATCGCCTTCTTCAAGACCTGGAAGCGAGTCAACGTGTGCAGTAATTCACTCCAAGGGTAGACATACCTTCAACAATACTGTGTAGGGTACGCCCACCACTCTGACAACGTGTCAGACCACTACTCGCCGTTTAGTGTGATGGAATGAACTTTCCTTGTATGGTCAGACTCGAATCCACACATTTGTTGGAAAGGGGCGAGTTCATTGCTGACGGCAACCCTTTCTCCTTTCCTGTTTAGTTTAGGACATCTGCATGATATCCAACAAGCCTCTATGGCTTTTCGCGCGGCAATATTCGTTTCTTTGGAAAGAACAGATATGCTGATGTCAAACGCGATGTCCTGGTGGGAAAGTTTTTGATGTGCGCTTAAAGGCGTGGACACTCGCGATTTTCGCATTCCATCCAAATGTTCGTTTATTTTTAGGCACAACGGTCTTCCTGTTTCTCCAATATATTCTTCACACATTTTACAAGTTATAAGATACACAGTACCTCGGCACATGCAATCTTCCGGTTTATTGGAATCGCCAAAATCTCGAACGTTTTTGCCGCACTCAAGTTTGGCAACTTTTCAAAATGTTCGGTCTCAGTTTTTGGAAGAATGCTAACAGATGGATAGAGTTAAAAGTGTAGTACAAATATTTTTCCGGGTATTCAACTAGCACTGCCATTTTTTTCTTGGTTTTCTTGTCGAAAGTCTCCACTGCAAAGTCGTGTGATGCACTAACGCATCAAACTCGAAAAATCTGCGAATTTGAGCGCAACAAAACGCAAGTATCATATCTAGATTTACGAAGCAAATAAGCGTTCACCGCTTCAGGATAGCTCATTTTGAAATGTCGTGTACACCCACAGCCGCGTTAAAAAATCTACAAATAAGATGATTTCATTCCGAAGTTTTACAAATTGTGAAGAAAAAAGCCTAGTAGGAAAAAAGCTAAACCAAGATTCGCTTGTCAGTTGATATTTTGTGAGTTTTGGCTGTGTAATAAACCAAGATTCTCTTGTCGGTTGATGTTTGTGAGTTTTGGCTGTGGAATTAGCTGACATCAGAAAAATAGCTATGGTGATGAAAAGCTTGCTGGAGGTGCAAAAAAATTGTTGCACTTTGCTTGATCCAATAACCTATCATCAAAACTCTTGCAGAAGTTCAAAATGACCAAACTTGAGCATGGTAATCATGGGTTCAACATTTCAGCAATTATCTGAGTAACCACAAAGCAAGTAGTCCCAGAACATTATTGCTGGAAAGAATAAGATACACTGTGTAGAAAGGTTATTGAGTGTTGGACAATCTTTATCCCACGTGCTTTTTAATAAATTGAAGAAAAATGGGAAGGATTTGCGATCGACCTAATATCCGGCCATATATGAATCCCAAAGCATGGCTTATTTTTAGCTGGCTGGTCTATCAGCACATTATATCAAGATCAGAGCAAAAACGAAGCTTTCGAGGTTCCTCTCTTGATCTCAAACACCGAAAAGCTGAGCTTCGCATGAGATTCTTACTACGATTTTTTTATAAGATTATTTTAGCTCTGCCACTCCAGCCTTGGATGGCGATCTGCTTTTTATATACATGCAGCTTTTGGATTGTTCGTGTTCCTTCTCTGGATTATGTTCTACCGCGATGATCCACAGCTACATTCATGCGTTAGCGAAAAAGAGCTTTCCAAAATCCACAAGGACAAGACACGCGCCCATATAGAGAGAGACAGCTTTGTACCTTATAAGGTAAAACATAAGTTAATATTCATGTATTCGCTCGACGCCTTTCAGGAAATTATTACAAATAAGGTTATCCTGATAATTTGGTTCAACGCTTATACGGAAATGACCACAGCCATTCTACTTTTGGTGTATGCACCTACATACTTCCACAAAGTTCTTGGATATGACATTCCTACAACTGGAGAGTTTGTGAAGCTCCAGGTACTTGAATCCACCCTTTAGTTGACCTATATTTCAGGTGTGCTTGTCTCAGTAACTGCTAGCACTCACATTCCGCTCAAAATTATTGGTGGACTTATAAGTGACAGAGTAAGGTACAAGTATTTGCCCCATATAGCGACGAATATGTATTCGCCTCATTTCAGAATTCTCAGCGAGCGATACAAGATGTGGTTTTTTAACTCAGTCTCTGTAGGATTAGCAGGAGTTTGTTGCGCATTGATCGGAGTATTTTCCGCCGAATGGCCTAAAACTGGTGTTACACTTTTCACCTTAGTAATCACCTGTATGGGATTTAGTCCTGTTGGCTTCTATAAATGTGGGACACTTTGTTCAAGGTAATTTACAAAGAGCTGTCTTTTTATATTAGTGTCCTATGGTTTTTTTACCAGAAAATTCTAATTTGTCCCATAACAACTCCCATCCTTCTTGTTTTGTGGAAGGTTCTGCGGTTCCAGTCTACTGAGCAAACCAAGCTCTCCAAGGTCGCAGCTTGATATTTGCTTAGCGTATGTTTTGTGTGAAGATTCAAATGCCAGAGTCTATAAAAAAATTTCTTTGTCCAGAAAAGTACTACTAGCTTTTTACTTGCTCATGTGTACACTCTCTGGATCTGGTATCTATCTATAAACTTGTTTATTTCATGGCCAGAACTCGAGAAACATACAAATGCCAAACTAGGTCGAAGAAAGTCTTTTCGGAGCTTTTTGTTTGGTTCTCGAAAATTATTGCCTAACAAGGGAAGGATAGTTGGATGCCGCGGCCATTCCTAATGATTTGTATACCAAAAAATGCGCCTTCAAATGCAGATTCTGAATCTGTGCTCGAAATCTGCGAAACGCTTGAAAATTTAGCCTACTTTTGGATAGTAAAAATCACCAGATTTGACCTAGCCTACCGTTTGATGCTACTGAAGAAAATTTTAGACGTAGTAATATTTATTTAAACTATCTGGGTCATACTCAGCATTTGGAAAGGAGAGAAATTTTTTTTATTGTTGATTTTGACCCTCCGCAGGAACGCAATTTTTTAATGAAAAAAATCATAACTCCATTCAGATTATCGTTTCGCAGATATGAAAGACAGTCTACGAACCAGCATTCAAAAGCGCATTTTTTGGTATACAAATCATTATGAATGGCTACGGCATCCAAGTATCTTTCCCCTGTAAGGACAAAAATCATGGTACTTCCGAATGCCCATACCATAGAATTACTTGAGTGGGATTAGACAAAGCGTTTTTTGCAAAAACATATAAACTATTTTTATTAGCCATGGAAAATGGGCACTCATATGTAAAGCCGGATGTGGATAGTATATGCGAGAGCAAGCAAAAAATCCGTAGGAATTTTTGAACTAAGATATGAAGACTGTTTGAACGTAAAGATTTCCTTAGGTTTCAGCTTCGAACTTCATGAAGAACAAACTTTGAGCATAAGTTTGGATCATATCTTGTAAAGCTTGCTTTGCTCTGTCAAATGATGCCGCAAAACCTATCAAAGAATCAAGGAGAATATGGGTTACCGCAAAACTTGTTTGAAAAACAAGAAGAAAAGAGTTCTTGCGGAAGAAAAAAAGGTGATAGTCGTGAGACATCTCAATAGATAGATAAAACGCTTTGAACTAATCCAGCTAATACCGATCTTATATATAAAGCTGAATGTCTGTTTGTCTGTCTGTCCGTCTGTCTGTATGTCTGTATGTCTGTCTGTATGTCTGTACGTATGTTCCGAATAGAAAATTCCATTTCTGAACCGATCCGGACCAAACTTGGCACACATACACTTCGGGCCCCGGCGGGTGTCATAGGCTACTTTTCGTCATCGATCGATGTCGATTTTATCGATTTTTTGCAAAATTTGAGCTACGGGGCTGGGAGTTGGCACAGGGGGGTAATCGAGCATGCTGATCACACCCGTGGGGGTGATCAGCATGCTCGATTACACCCCTCAAAAGTAGCCTATGACACCGCCGGGGCCCGAAGTGTATGTGTGCCAAGTTTGGTCCGGATCGGTTAAGAAATGGAATTTTCTATTCGGAACATACGGCGGAGCCGGATAAGCCAGCTAGTTATACTATAATATTAGGTCGGTGCAAAAATTTTGTCAGTTTTTTCAATCCATCGGCAGTCACGCTAGAATGAAGATAAACAAAGACTTCAAAATGTATCCAATGCAGAATTTCTTCCTCTTTCCAGCTGCTGAACTCCCATTGTGTTTCGTTGCGAGAGTGACGAGATAATTGCTGCAAATTACAATCACTCGTTTCTATCATGTCCAACTTTTGCTAATTTTCAAAATTTTTGTATGAGACTTTCGAAGGAGCCCTGATAGCCAGCAAATAGGGCTAACCTTTTGCCAACTTATGCAATTTTTTTCCTTTATCAACTGCTTTTCCAGATTTTTGCTAAGCAATTTTGTAAAAGTCTCGTGTTTTGAAAAAATTGCATAACCTGTTATTGCACCAAACACTGCAAAACCTACAGAAAACTGAGGTTTCAGCAAATGATTATTATTACGACTACATTGCAAAGTAGATGAGCGATTTTCGCTTCAAATTATGAAGTTTTTGAAACATAGGTTACGTCAGTGCGCACTCCTGAAATTGAGAAATACTGCGATTTTCCCCACAAATTTCCCTGTCTCGGCAAAAAAAGACAAGTATTAGAAAGAGGAGAAAAATCTGCATCGAATGGTAACTGAAGTGTTTAACATTTTATGTTCTACGAGATAAAAATAGGCTAAATGTATAATTTGGTCACTTCAAAAAATAAATCGTGGAAATTCTGAAAAACAAGCTGTAGAGCTACAAAAAAAATTGCTTCTGTTGGCAAAAGGTTTGCCCTATTTGCTGGTTACTAGGGCTCCTCCGAAAGTCTAATACAAAAATTTTGAAAATTAGCGATAGTTGGACATGGTGAAAACGAGTGGTCGTAATTTGCAGCAAATATCTTGTCATCGCAACGAAACATAATGGGAGTTTAACAGCTGGAAAGAGGAAGAAATTTTGCATCGGATACATTTTGAATTCTTTGTTTATCTTCATTCTAGCGTGATTGCCGATGGATTGAAAAGATTGACAAAACTTTTGCACCGACCTAATATATCACAGTCGATTTAGACAGTATGCTCACTTTGTGTTAGCTGCTGTACAATACATGAAATGTGTTGCCATGTTTGTCGCTCCTGGAACAGTTGCCCTACTAGTGCATGATGAAAGCCGCTACAATCAGTGGCGGTATGTCTACTGGATCAACGGTATTCTTTTGATAATAGTGAGTACTAGTATTAGTACATTAACATAAACAACATCAACTTAACGGAAGCGAACGTAATCCTGCAATCAAAACATTCTGCAGTATTGCGACGACTACGGTAATTAGACTTCATTTGAAAAAAAAAACACTTGGTAGTAGGTTTCTGATTATGAAACAATGCAGTGATATAAACCGCGACTTTTGTTTGTTTGTGTTGGTTTTCTTCTTTTTTGTGCTTTCTTACCTTCTACTTAGGCAAATTCCACTTTCCTCCCCATCGCAACTGACCAACCTGCTTCATTTACTCTAATCACGCGAGCAACTAGAGAAGAGCAAAATAGGAAAAAATTCTCCTACGATAAAGTAAGCCTGTTTTGACTTTCCAAAACATATTTCAAATACGAAACATTGCAGAAGATCAATGACAAGGTCTCCAATGAGGGATGTGAACAGTGTGACCTTCGACTATAAGAAGCACAGAGTCCAAAAGCTTTGTTACTAAAGTTCTGTGTCACAAGTGTATCCTATCCACGTTGTGGAGATTTGCAGAAGAAACTTGAGCTCTTCTTTCACATGTATATTTGCTCTGATCGTCTTACGCATGCTGCATAAAATGGGATTAATCTCAATTATAGTCACATTGTTAACTTTGACTCAAAAACTTTTTAGGTCGTTGCAAATGTTAGATGACGCTTTTTTATTCTTTTCAAAAAAGCAACACAGACTGGCCAAGTTTTATGGCACACTAACTTCCGACCATGCACAAAGTTTCTGCAAATGTTTATCGTAGGTTTTGGACCGCAAAGCAGTGATTGGAGATGCTATTCCAACGGCACAACCTGAAACCTTGAAGCAAAATTTTGCATTATGTCGATGAAGTTTCTTGAAATTAAAATGTTTAGCCTTATGAAGAAACTTGGCTACGGCAACCAATATGCTTTTTTCGCAAAAAAAGTAATTGATCTTGTAGATAGAGTACATCTGCAAAAATCTGCAACCACTGCTTACGGACTCTCATACAGACTAACAATGTCATTACTCCAGTTCACGCTCATGACAACATTGCAGAAAGAGTTTAAAGGCAAAAATTCGAGCGCAGGCCTGCGGTTGGGTCTATGTGTGTCGGGTGCGCTTTGTATATGAAAACTCGAATTTTTTTCTACTGTTCACACTGCTAAGCATCTATGAAATAGATGTAACCCTATCACTTTCAAACCAGTCAAAAAAGTCTTCGGGACAAAATACGCATAAAAGTATTTTTTGAGTGAAAAAAGTAGATAAGCGTTTCTTATAGAGGTATGACACAGCTGAACTAAAGCCACTGTGCACAAAAGACTTTGGAAGCCGAGAATTACTTTAGCAGACAGAAATTTTAGGTGGATCTACAGTTCTGACCAACCTTCGAGGCTGCTTTTTTCGAAATTTTTGATTTTTTTCTGAATAATCTAACGAAAGCGGAATTTGCTCCGGTCACTGATGGAAGCCTGTTGAACACACAGCTGTACCAAATCTCGGATCAATTCGTTGAAAAGCAGATGAACTACAGCAGTTTTCAAAGTGGATCTATAGTTTTGGCCAGCACTGTATAAATAAAATGCTGTAGCTCCCGCAGTTAAATGTAGGTGCTGAGATTTTTCAAAAATTCATAATGTAAGCTCAAAAATAGGTACGTTTTTGATGTCTCTTCGACGTCAACGTTAAGCATCTGAAGGTACCTTTGAGGAAGGATGGTAGCCAAACAATCCAGGATGTGGCAGACAATGTGGTGTTTGGTCGCTAAATCATCGAAAAAATGGGTTATATAGTCAAAATTTCAGAATTTGGGGGACACACAGCCGAAGTACGCGAGGCAACAAACGCCGCTGCGGCAAAGCCCCTTGCTATACCGACTTTTGCAAAAATCATTAAAGGGTCAGGAAAGAAGTGGGCAGCCGTAAACAGTCTTAGTAAGTGCTCATATGATTAGTCCGTTGTTATTTTTGTGATCAACCTTTTTAAATAAATTTTAACAGTAAATGACGGGAAAACTAAAGAAAAAAAAGATGTCAAAAATAGAATTTTTGCCTTCTCGGATTTTTCGTTATGTAGTCAATTTTTTGTTCAACTTTCCACGAATTGAAAATATTAGAATAGAAGTTTGGTAGAGCAGACTTAGAGCCGAACGCATACTAAAATCCTGCCAAATGTGCTTTGAATACTGAGAAAAAATCAAAACAAAAAACAAACGAACATATTACACAACCTAATAGTTTTGAGTATGTAAGTGTGTGTGTGTATGTGTGTGTGTGTGTGTGTGTGTGTGTGTGTGTGTGTGTAAGTGTGTGTGTAGATGTGTGTGTGTGTGTGGTGTGTGTGTGGTGTGTGTGTAAGTGTGTGTGTAGGTGTGTGTGTGTGTGTGTGGTGTGTGTGTGTGGTGTTGTGTGGTGTGTGTGGTGTGTGTGTGTGTAAGTGTGTGTGTAGGTGTGTGTGTGTGTGTGTGTGTGTGTGGTGTGTGTGTAAGTGTGTGTGTAGGTGTGTGGTGTGTGTGTGTGGGTGTGTGTGTGGTGTGTGTGGTGTGTGTGTGTGGTGTGTGTGTGGTGTGTGTGTGTGTAGGTGTGTGTGTAGGTGTGTGTGTATATATATATATATATATATATATATATATATATATACAAAGCGCACCCGACATAGACCCAACCGCAGGCCTGCGCTCGAATTTTTGCTTTCAAACTCTTTCTGCAATGTTGTCATGAGCGTGAATTGCAGTAATGACATTGTTAGTCTGTATGAGAGTCCGTAAGCAGTGGTTGCAGATTTCTGCAGATGTACTCTATCTACAAGACCAATTACTTTTTTTGCGAAAAAAGCATATTGGTTGCCGTAGCCAAGGTTTCTTCATAAGGCTAAACATTTTAATTTCAAAAAACTTCTTCGGCATATCGCAAAGTTTTGCTTCAAGGTTTCAGGTTGTGCCGTTGGAATAACATCTCCATTACATGCTTTGCGGTCCAAAACCTACGATAAACATTTGCAGAAACTTTGTGCATGGTCGGAAGTTAGTGTGCCATAAAACTTGGCCAGTCTGTGTTGCTTTTTTGAGAAGAAAAAAACATCATCTAACATTTGCAACGACCTAAAAAGTTTTTGAGTCAAAGTTAACAATGTGACTATAATTGAGATCAATCCGACTTTATGCAGCATGCGTAGGTCGATCAGAGCAAATGCATGTGAAAGAAGAGCTCAAGTTTTTTCTGCGAATCTCCACAACATGGATAGGATACAACTGATGCTTGTGACACAGACTTTTAGTAGCAAATGTTTTGAACCCTGTGCTTCTTATAGTCGAAGGTCGCACTGTTCACATTCCTCATTGGAGACATTGTCATTGCTTTTGAGTGCAGGCCCTTGATTGGTTGCGAAGTCTGAATAGAAGCCCATATTTCCTATCAAAGAGCCGTTCAGCAGATATGTAAGGAATTGGAACTAGCTCGTCAATGCGCATTTGATAATAACATTTTATTCCAGATCGACACTGCGACTTGAGATCTTTCCTTGGTTGGAGCACGCGAAAGCGACCATAAGTTTCGATTATAACTAAACTAATTTTTCATCGTAGATATCTTTGCGCACTGTGCTTAGGCAGCGCATGAATCGCAGTGAGCATCAGATAAATACTTAGAGCAAATTTCAGAACAAATCTGAGCAAAGCGACCTTTCCTACAGTGTGCCTACAATATACTACCGACAGCAAATCAACGCAAATGCTGTTATCAGCACACTGAGTAACTCATAAGCTGAAATCTGAAGCATTTGGCGGTAACTGCTACCGTACACTTACCGTAGCCCGACATAACGCAGGACTACTTAATCAGAAAGTGCGACTCACCGAGCTGAGTTGGGTGTCCTTGGATTCCAAATTCGTCCATTCTGAGGCGAGATATGGCGATGCGACGCGGATTCCGGCTACTTCAGCGGAGTGCGGCGCACTCTGGCGTCGAGGTGTGCCGCTTTTTTTGACAATTTATGAGCGATATTCTGTACTAGGTTTTGTGAAAAAGACTGATGTATCATAAATTTACTTTCTTTCTTCCCTGTCTTTCTATTAGTTGTATTGAATTAAGCTGTTTTGCAGCATGCTAATGAAGCTCTATATTTTCTTGCGGTTTCATACTACGCCCAGGATGCAGCAGCTGCCGCAGCACGCCGCATCCTGCGGCGTGCGCCGCTGCAGTTGCAGTGGAAATATACGCTCAGGGCAGCGCAGCTTCGCCGGTTATGCATGTGTATTTATATTTGCTGCACGCTCGTGTTTTCCGAAAGTGTTACTTCACAGCGAGCAAGCTTATATTTCTACTCCTTTCTATGCAGCAGCCTTTCCCTACCACGCGGCGTGCTGCGGCAGGCTGCTGCGTCCTGCGGCGTAGTATGAAAGAACTCTTAAAGCTTTTGTCGCAGCCTCACCACCGCTTAATCCCCATAGATATGCGATAGTGTTTGTAGCTTATCCGGACAGGCAATTGCCATAAGTTATTTCATTCTCCCGTCTGTTCTGTGATAATCCTACTGGGTAATTGGCAATAAGGATGCACTCGTGCAGAACACAATGAGTCTAGATTATAACACCACCTTCAGGAAAATGCCTGCGTTGCTTAAGAAAAAAAAACCAAGCAATTGCATACCTTCTATGAGGTAAGATGTTGAGGTCAAATCATCATGAAATTCTCTAGCAATAAGTAGCTATTCGAAGGTATCCCACGCTACGCAGTCGTTATGTAAAACCTTTTGCACAATATGTCAACAAACGGTTTCAAGGAAATACGAATGCATTGAGTTTGGCTCAACTCAAATTTTTTTGGACAGAAAGGCTGTTTTTGTTTTTCGTTGCTTGTTCTCTTGGAGGTAAGGAGCTTTCAGTTTGATTTCAATCTATTACACAATCGGTGGTTCGTTGCATAATACCTAGACAAAGCACTCAAAACATTCTCTTTTCGGGCAGCTAATTAGTTATAAAGTTTCTCAATCTGCGTTTCTCAGTGCGT